CCGCTGCCTTTTCGGAGAAGCCGGAGTGTCGGCCGGTGTAAACAGCGCAAAGAAATCGAGGCGACTGGTCAATTAAACCCGGCCGGCGTTTAGTTAACATTTGTAAGGCCCACTGAAACGTCACTCGTGGACGCCGTCGGTATGGCGCACCGATGGTACCAACGTTGGTCCAATGAAACCACGTAACGAGGCGAAAGGGGTCCACCCCCCGACAATTGGATGCGTCTCAAAAATGGTCCTTTAACAGCTGATTGACTGGATTTGAGATCGCAGCGACCACGCCAAAGAATTCCCTGATGAAATTCCGGGATTCCTAATCCCATAAAAAGGAATACAGATACTTTTGATGTGGCATCAAGGTTGGTCCACCATTTGGTTGCGTCTTTATGGTGGCTTTTCAATTGCTCGCGCTTTTTTCGCGTTTTTTTAGGACGCGGCTCGGGACGCAGCGTCCATGCCGAAGAGCGTCCCGACGAAACACGGTGGCTCCTAATCCCGCCAGAGAAACGGAGACACCTTGGATCCGACGTGGGATCAGCCGTTCCTAATAAAAGGGTCTTGCCGACAGGGGCCGCCTCCGTTAATTCCCTCCCCGGTTTCTCGCGCCCCGATCACGCCCGGCTCGGAAATTGTGAAATTCTCGGCCGAGCGCGGAACTCGGGAATCGCCTTTCGGCCCCTCGCCCTCGTCTCCGGGTACACGTACGGCCGGCTCTGGAGCTACCTCTTAAATTCCCACGTGCCGATCTTCGGCATTCGAGCGATTCGCTCGTGCACGCTCATGAAAATGTTTCGCGCAGCCGGCGAGATTCTCGACGTGTCGCCGCGACGCCGCGTCGACGCTGGCTCGTTTCCCCCTGACACCTGCGAGCACCGAAACAGGGCACGAGCCATGTTTCCGGGTAGCTGCTCGATTGAGACATACCCTCCCCTTTAAGGCGACGTTAATTCGCCGCTGATCAAGATTTGTTCGAGATCCTTTTTTTTTTTTTACCTTTCCCTGGTCGCACCTAAAACAAGATACCCCCTTGGAGGAAATCCAACCCCAGGTATCGATATCGACTCCTCCACGCAGACCACTACTTGCAGGGTGTACCACCCCACGTACGCGGTAACCGAACGACGCGACGGAATCACCGGCGGGATCCAATTATTTTTAATTGCGAGTTCGATCGCGGCCGCATTAAAACCCGCGGCGGATTGAAATAAATGTCGCAGGGGTGTAGTCATGCCCACTTTGCGAGCGATTCGACCTCGGCTGGTCAGAACCCCTTAATTGTGTGTGGGTTTCCCTAGTTTCGACCCCCTGGTCTCAGCTTCTCTCGCCATCTTTATCAGGCCGATTAGACACCTGGTTTATCCATGAACTCTGGAAATTTGTCACGGTTCGCCTTTTTAACGTCGACGAGGAGTCCATCGGGGGTCGTTAATGCCCCATTGACCAGTTACGCATTCGAGTGGGCCGAAACTTGGACACCTCTTGTGGAAGTCGATCGATCGACCGATACGTCTCGCTCGTGGGGGTCGCCACCCCTCGAAGGACCCTCCGAAAGGTAGCCTCCGGACACTTCTTCCCCCGATGATCGAGGCTGCCGTTTATCTCCGATTGGCGAATCGATCCCCGGGGCTTTTCGCGAGAGCGGTCGTGCCTTTGAATGACTCGGTATCGAGGGTGGAGGGCGGCTGCTGAAAGGAATCGGTGGTCCAAGTGGTAGAAATTGGTTTTTTTTTCCGGCAGCCCGGTTAGCGCCGCGACGCCCCTCGGCTAGGAAGTCAAGGGCGACGGAAGAAAGGTGTCGAGAAATCAGCCCGCCCGACGGCGGGGCTGGAAAAGCCACCCTGTGGAAGAGATCTCGGAATCCAAGGAACTTTTACCCACCCCGAGGGATGACTTTCGAGTCGATTCCCAGTGCAACGGGGGTGCATCTCCCTCGACCAAACGTCAGGGTATCAATTTTCGAGACCAGGCGGCCACAGCTTCCGCTTCGATCCATAGATCATGGGCACTTCAAGGCGGACTCGCCTCCCCTGATAGGGTGCAAATCGACAATTTCGCATTTTTCTGGGACATCGCTGGTCAATTGGGTCATTAATTGCCCTGGACTCGGAGTGTTCGACATATGCCGTTGTTTTTAGGAAAAACCGCAAAGTGAAGGTCATTGATCAGGCCTTGGACCAAATCCAGTAGCTTATTTCCTTTTTTTCCAGAAAAGGCGTCCACGTATGCTCGCGTTAATTGCTCGCGCTGGGTCGCGGATATTAATTGCGGAATACGCGGACGCACCACGGTGTATGTAGCGCAAATAGCGTGCAGCGTACCTACGGCCGGGCGAGGCAGCGTCCAATGATCGCGGCGGCCCGCGCGATATGGTTTATAGACCGGCGATAATGACGTTCCCAGGTATCGCGCGATTATCTCCCGTCATTGAATTTCTGCGAAGCGCCGCCCGCCCGGGCGGAAGCGACGAGGAGGACCCGGGATCGGGCACGCATTGCGTACTCGCATTGAAACGCGGAATAATTAGACCGGCGTGGATATGGCTCGAGCCGGTCCGGTGCGGGAACCAAGGCTGGGCACCTGTCAGGAAACTTGTTCCTAACGGTGCACATTGTGCCCGGCGAAACGTTGGCTCGCCGTAATTCCTCGTGTCATAATCCCGACAACCATACCTCACCTAGGCATCCCAAAACGAGGTTCGACCTGGGTGACCTCGCGAATCAAGCTAAGAAATGTCTTGAAACCCGTGAAAGTATTCAATTTTCCCTCGGTATCGCCGATTTCGTTGCAACGCAAGAGGGGGCAGAATTCGGGAATAACAGGAGACGACACCGAAAGATAAGCCGGGGGTGGCGGAATTAACGAGTGCGCGGGTACCGCGGCTTCGAATAATTAGATCTCGAGGGTGGCGGGGAATTTAGGCTGCCCCAGTTCCGGCCAACAGCCAGGTACCGGTCAGGGGATTGGACCAGTTCATAACCGGACGCGGTCCGGCGAACTCCGCAGGATAAAGCCGGCAGGATACGGACCTTAGGGAATAGCTCCCGGTCCCGGGCCGAACGTGCCCGTTTCAAAACTCGGGCGGATCCGGCTCTAAAACTTTTGTCCCCGCCCGGCTGGATTTTCGTCAAAGAGTCGGAGAGACGAAAAACCCGCCGGGTGAACTTGGCTCCTTCGATCGGCCGGGGTGACACCGTCCGACTCGGCGCCACCCCCGGGTCGATCGGCGACCTCCAGGTGGATCCCGTCTTCGCGGGACGTCGGGAGGATGGAAAATGAATAGTTAAGGGTGTTCACGAGCCGGCGAGCGATTAGGCTCGCACGGGTAGCCGCGAGTTTCGGGGCCGGTTTCGATTCGGGGTGGCGAGGCCGCTGGCACTCTTCCAGCGGCGGGCGGGCGGCCACCCTTTCAGAGAGGCTCCGACATCGCGATGCATCGGCCAGGCCGGGCGGAACCCGGCCGTATCCCGGATCCGGCGGTGCGTGTACCCGAAATTACGGCGTTAAAGCTATTGCGCGCAGGGGGCCGGAGGCAACCCCTGGATCCGCCGCGGTGTAAGGCTCGCAACGACGCTCGAGAGGGCGGTGGTCCGCCCGGGCGGGCGGGCGGGCGGATGTTTTCATTCGCCGATCCATTGTGCGGGCCCTCGGTAAACGTTGAAACGCTGATGCAAAACTATTTTCCTCTCTCTCCTTCCCGGGCTTTTTTTTGTTTCCTTTTCCCGCTCGCCTTTTTTCCCGCTTTTCCCGCCTCGCCTTTTTTTTTTTTTTTTTTCCCCAGGGGGACGGAAGCTTCGTTAACCCACATTCACATCGCGCGCGTTCGAGACTCGCTCTCCGTCCGCCATCCTCGGACGCGATCTCTGCCTCTCTCTCTCTCTCGGCGTTTTTCGCCCACCTCCGGGCGCCGACCCTCTCACTCACTCTCTCTCTCTCTCTCGCCGCCCTTCCCCGCCCGGGCGCCGCGTCCGGTCCCTCCTCTGGCTCTCGCTTGTTTATTTCGCCCAACCCGTGGATTAAGCTGATTTATAGTGTTTACCGACAATAACGTGCATTTTCCTTTCGCGCGGGTGCGCCGACTTTTGGAAGGAGATTCCGCGGTGCATCCGGCCTGCAATCGCTGCGGAACCGTCCCCATTCCCCCCGCGGAAGCTCCGCACGTCGCGGCCACGCGCGGCCGGTGTCGCGCCCGGGCGGAAAACCGACCTTAATTAACGACCGGGCGGAACAACCGCTCGCGAAAGTGGACTCCTTCCGAATGCTGCAGGTTATCCGCAGGTAGTCCTCGTTGCATATCTCCTGGACCGATCGGAAGTGAGGCACTTATCCACTCGCGCCGTTTATGAAATTAATTTCAACCTACCCCTACTTTTTGATATTACTGCCCGCTCTCGAATCAGGGCGAGCATTCGAATCCGCGTGCTACGTGCACCGTGTTACAATTTACCATCGGCAATTACTCGTGGAAACGAGCGTTGCAGTAAATTACCTGGCCGGCCGGCACGTCTCTCCGTGCACTCCCGCGACCGTAAATAATTATGTCATCGGCCGGATTACGGCATTATACTTTGTAATAATCTTATCGCGGCGACAATCCGCGGGGTTCGTATTTCCCGGGCGACATGACTGACATCGGCTCGGCGAATCAGGACCTGGTATCAGGTCCGCGATATCGACCGCAGCCGCGGCACGAATTCTTTCGCCGGGATCCGAAATACGTCCCCGTAAGGGGAGAGTGACCTGACAAGGTTCGGTACCAGGATCCAGGATTTGTGCGTTTTAAGCGCATCGCGAGGTCCTGGATAGAGACCTTGTCGAGGTATCCTTTCCTTTCGTTCCTTCTCTCCCCGTTTTCCCCGGATCCCATCCCCCTCTCGCGCGGAAATCTCGGTGCATCCCAGTCGCCTCATCCCCTGGGAAAGTTTCCTTCTTCCGACTTCTTACGACGCATCGTACCGCTCAGTACCTTCCGGGCATAAACATGGTCGTTTCTCTCGTTTCAGGCGTAGTCGACGATCGACTCTGACACCGACCATGGAGTGCCGCAGGCCCTGGCCGAAGGACCTGCTCAACGGCTTAGTCCTCGTCTGGCTGTTTACCAGCAGTTGCACCGTCGCCTCGCAAAATAAAGGTAAGCAACAACCGCTTTAGAACTTTCCAACGGATTTGCACCGCGTACACGATCGTGCGTACGCGCGTATCGACCCCTGGGGGGATGACGGCACCCCCTGAGACCTTGGTTTAACGTACGTCGTACCCCTACCGATCCGTTGACTTTGTTTCTCAGTCAAGGTTCGTTGACTCTCGCAGCCAGCAATGGTCGCCGCGCCACTGGGGGGTTGATCCCGGACTTAGGGGTTGGTCTCGATATTTCATCGAAAAAAATCGGGGCGTCCTAGTTGATGACTTTGGAAAGGGGTGGTCCATGGTTCAAAAGCCAAGATTTGGGTCCTTGATTTCGAATTTCGTCCAAAAATGCGTGATGTCTGGAGGTGCATCGGAGGGTTATCGGTCTGGGGGTGGCTGCGACTTCAGAGGGATGGAGGGGCACCGAGCCTACTAACGAGGATGCGAGTATCCGAGTATGGGGCGCTGCCATGTGCACGGGGAAAAAGGCTCGCCGACATCGGCAAGGGTGCTAGGTAAGTTAGGGGTTGAAATCGCGGGGGGGACAGGGCGGCCAAAGCATTAACGAGCGACCGGCGGAGGGATGCGAGCGGTTTCGCGAAGTTCGCGAGGGGTCGTTTCCGTGCGCAGAGCTGCGGAGGAGTATGAGGGGAGGGGGAGGAAGAACGGAGATATAGCGTATGGAAGGGGTCCTATTCCTTCCCGATTACGGCACACGTCGGTGCGTCCAATCCGCGAAGTTACCACCCCTTGCGTGCCCGACCTCGAAATCCTCGAATCCTCGCCCTCTCTCGAGCCCTATGCGGCACCCCTGCGGAAACGATCGCGGCAGACGACTCGGGTCCCGCTCGAAGACCCGCGAGGGATTCGCAGCGGCCCTAGAATTTGGAATAGGGTCTGGATAGCGTCCTGACCGGGACCATCCCCCGGGACCTCGAGGCACCCCTAGTGCCGATTCTAAATCAACTATTAAGTCAACGATCTTCGACGGCCGTTGCACACCCTGGTGCCTTCGATCCACCCAAGGACCCTTTGCGAGCTGATCGAGAGGTCCCGGAGGGCGCCTCACCTCATGGACCAAGGACCGGTTCAACCCCCGGGTTTCGACTCGGGGAAGCTCGATGGACTGTCCCATGTTTTTACCGAGGGCGCGTCACCCTGGGTAGCGACGAGCTTAATTGCAGGACCCGTTTAACCCCCTCACCCCTTCGAGGTGCTGGGTGGTCGAAGGGTTAACGGGTAAGGGTCGACGTTGCACGCAATAGGCACCGAAGGGTGGTTCTACTCGGCGGATCCGTCGTGGATATGTTTATCGAAGTCCTGGTTTCCTCGAGGATGAAGGGGATCCGTCATCCGGAAAGTGGGAATTAATGGTACCCCCGAAACGGACTACACCTTAAAACCCTGGGCCCTAGGGGTGATTTAAGGGTGGTGGATCGGGATTAAGTCGCGCCCTCGTGGCTCGAGATACTCTCTGAATTCGCAACGTCCGTCTTCCGGAAGCCTGAACGGAAGGCACGTCGTGGAATTATCGGGTGTCCCTTGGTCTGATCCGCATTGATCGCGGCTTTGACACCGCGCACAAGGGGCGAATCTCCGCGGAGCGTGCGTAAACGGCTGCGGCGATTACGGCGAGTCTCCGCGGCAACATCCTCGCCAAAGGGAGGACTCCGAGCTTCTTTGGACGTCGCCTTGGATTGCAGCTTGATACGTGCTCCGAGTTGTTACACGAAGGGGAAGTGACACCCCTCAAAGGGGCACCAGACGTGGTAACCCTGAATTGCTCCTGGCTCGGATTCACGATTAATCGTAATTAATTGTGGTACCCACTCCTGCGGGATCCTCTCTATCGCAATTTCGAGTGCGACTTCTTGCGGTGTCGGCTCCTAGACCTTCGCCACATCATAAGCTCATGCGGAAATAGTTTGAATATCCTGCCACCCTCTCTTTGGATCGATTTCCAGTGATCTCGAAATTTGTTAAAATCTGCGGTTTAACCAGGTTGAACTTACAATTTTCACGCCTGGGATTTCTTAGGTACGTGATCGACGATTGACGAAGGGTTTATTTTTCCCTCCAGGATTGAGGCGCAATCTAGGGGTGCTTATACCACACCCCAAGTGCTCGGCTTCCCTCCACCGGCAATCCGAGAGTTATAACCTGGCGATAAATAAGACTCCTTTTGCCTCCTTTTCGCCGGCTCCCTCGTTTCCTCCCCCATTTGCCCTTTCCCGGTGCAACCCCCTGGAAGGGTTCGCCATCTTCCCGCTGAACCTTCTCGGTGCTCTCTTCCGGGAGAAACCTCCAACCCTTGGGGCCGTTCCTAGGCAGACGGAGGTAGAACCACCCCTCCGCTAGGTAGTATCCCAGTAGTATCCTCCAACCCCCAGGTTGTTCTCGGGCGGTCCTTCCACGGGACCAGCTCTGGTCTCCAGCCATCCGCCCTGCGGAACGAACCGCCAACCACTCCGGTGTCTTCCGGGCCCGAAGATTTATGGCGCATCGGTGCCACACGGTAGCCTCGATTTACTGCACATTACCCCGTCCCTCCACCCCTTGCCACCCGTTTCGACGTCTCCTCCCCTGCGGTGCCTCTTTCTGGCCGTTCTCCACTCCACCCCCAGGTACCTGGCGACTCTCGATCGCCACGCAGTTCCTGTTCGTTCTTTGACCCCCGTTCATTAAAAGCCCTCCGAAAGCGAGGGATTAGCAGCTTCCATAGAGAAAGCTACGTTATGGAGGGAAACTTCGGGCACCTCATTTACGCGATTGGGGGCTCGGTCGATATCCTGGACTCCTGCCCCACTCTCAGTGGGTCCTCTTCAAGTCTCGTTCACGGAAGGGGTGCAGCCTCGTCCTCGATCAGGTTCTCTTTTCCTTCTTCGGGGCCGTTTTTACCCCTTGCTGGTGCAACTCTCTTTACCTCCACCCCCTGGACCCGGTATATCGCCCTCGCCATCGGCCAGGGCCGTTTGCCACCCCCGGCGGGTCTTCCGCGTCTTTTCCGTTCTTCATCCCGGGATGTCTCACCCTCGGCCTGCAACCCCCGCGCCAATCGCCGCCCCGACCTCCCTCGAAGCCGCCATAACGTGACTAATCTGATTCCCACGTGCGCGAGTACACTTCCCTCTGATCTTCCGAGCCCAGTGAGTTTTACGCGCATTAACCAAAACGCCCTAAATTTTAACGAGGATCTCTCGGGCTCGCACCTAGTTGTCGCGCACCGCGAGGGATTCACGGGGGATTAAACCGATATGTATGTGCTTGTATGGATGCCCGTGTATATAGGTATATGCGCGCATATATACACCGAGGTGTACGCTCGGGGCTGCCCTTTTTGAACTCGCCCCCTCGCCCGACCGAGCCGGGGCGAACGGCACCCCGTCCGTCCTGTGCGAAAGATCCGAGATCCTGCGAGATCCTGCGAGATCCACCCTCTCTGGATCCCCCTCCTGGCGGCGTCTCGGCGAATCCGCCCGGGTGTCCGCCCGGCCGGAAAATGAGAACGATCGAGCTCCGAGATCTCGCCGGAGACCCGGCGAGAGGGACGTGCTTTTCAATTTCCCTCCGATCCGCGTCTGGGCGGACCCACCCCCTCCCCTGGAAATTTTGATGAATTTATGCATTTTTCGGCCGGCTTCCACGTCCGGACCACCCTCACCCGTGAAGGGGTGGGCGCGAACGAGCCCTGCCACGGACGGCCGCGACTGGTTTCCGCGGCACAGCCCTTATTTCGATTTCCCCTGGAGGGTGCTTTCTCGTTTTCAGAGGACTCTCGGGGATATTCCGGATCTTGGTGGGACTGGAACCATTCCCTGGTTGGGTTACTGGGAGGGTATCCTGTCCTGGGACGTGGGGTCTCCGGCGATTCGCGATAGGGTCGATCGGGTGGAGGCGCACGGTCGGGGGTGAAACGGCTTAAGCGGCGTTCCCTTGAAATAACACGCGCTTACGGCCACCCCATTCAAATCCGAGTGTTATGCCCCCGACATAAGTTACTCATTTCACTTTCGCGAGGGGGTGACGACGAGCGCGCTCGCCCGCGAAATGGAAAAACTGCCGCCCCTCCGTCTCTCGCACCCCATCGCCCATCGAGGGGGTGTAGTCGGTGCCGATTCGTTTGTTTCGCCGTTTCCCCTGCGAAATTGACAGTGCGATTCCGGAAGCGTTTCCCGTCGATCTTACGGCGACGTAAGGGGTAGGTACGCGAGCGTGTAGGGCTAGGCTCCCACCGAGCGTCGTCGCAGCCACCCTCGCGAGCCCACCCCTTGGATTTCCCAGTGTAATCGATTTCCGATTTCGGAGTGGCGGCAATTTTTCACCGACCGGTGAAAAATAACTCTGGAATAAGCCGGGGCCGCCTGGCGACGGTCCTCTTCTCCGGGGACTCCGGCCAACCCCCTGGGAACCCATGGAGTGGAGGGGTGTTCTGGATCCCGCCCAGATATTTCGCCCCCCTAGATCCCGTTACCGCTCTTGATTTTCCACCAGTTGTCCTTAATTGTCACGACAACCGACGGAAAGCGATATCCCGCCGCAGTCAGGAAGAAAAACCACCCCTCTGCGAAGAAACGAATATGGCTCCGGTTGTTCCCCCGTTGCAGCAGCAATTTACTGCTGAAGCGGCGGATCCGAGGGAGCTCCGAAGCCACCCCCGCGGTTGCCATCGGAAAGGGATAAACCGATATCCGGGATACCGGCCCTAAATTCAACCTCGTGTTTCCTTCGCCTTTCTTTCCCACCCCCTGGACGGTCTCCCTCTTCCACCCCCTGGCTGCGTTCTCCACCCCCGGATGGGGCGAGGGCGAGGAGTCGGGTTATCTGTTTAATAGATTACGCTCTCGGCTTTACTTTTTGGCCCGCGTTAACTGCCTCTGGTGAACGACGTTCGGGGGTGGGAACGGGTGAGAAAAGGGTGGCACTCGAGTGTGCCAGGTGGCGATAGGACAGGGATAATGGAGGGAAGAGGAGAAGTTCCCTAGGCAGGGGAGGACTGCGACTAGG